AAAGGCCACCATCCCCCACCCACCCACCACACCAGCCTCCACAACCACAACCTCCACAACCACCTGTCATTGTCTAGTACCCACCAGCAGACCGCACCTGGGATTGGCAGGAAGCTGTCAATTTTGTTCCAAATGCCCACCAGTTTGAGGGACACCCAAAAAGTGGAATATGGCCATCTTGAAACATTGGGAACAATGCCACTAAAACTGGAATGTTTCGGTATTCTTTGAGAACCACTGAAGGAGAGTATTGTCATGGAAAGCAACACATACTACGAGTACACCATAGCAAACACATTACTTTCACCAGTGGAAGGAGGCAACTGTGGCTGAGATGTATCTTTTCTTTGCCACAATAATGCTTATGCCACATGTGTATAAAGCACAAAGTGAAATCATACTGGTAAAACAGACCCCCTGATTGCAACCCCAGGTTTCAGTGATATAATGCCAGTGAATCGATTGTGCTAATTTTACGTATGTTTCACTTCTCAGACAAACCAGGCCTGACAGAAATGACAGGTTATATAAGATTAGGAATGTGTTTGTGTATCTGAAAGAGAAATTCAGTACGCATTTTTATCCCTTCAGGAAGCTTGTAATTGATGGTCTTTTTATTCTGTTCACAGGAAGACTTTCTTTCAAGCAGTAATACCAAGCAAGAGAAACGCTTTGGTATAAAGTTGTTTGTGCTTTGTGATTGTTACAGTGGTTGGTATTGGATATTATTGTGTAACTGGAAGTTATACATTGCAAAATACCAGGAAAATTTTTGGGCATCTCTGGTGATGTGGTTAGAACAATTTATAGAACCCTACCTTGGGAAGGGGCATATATTATATACAGATAACTGGTACACAAGCCCCTCATCAGTGATTTTTTTTCGAGTGAACATGGGCGATGTGTGTTGGCACAGTGCGTGCAATCGGAAACATATGCCCAGGTATGGGCGCTGGCACTCATAGAGGTGAGGTGCAGGCGTTTTCTGCCAATGACATCATGGCATTTCGGTGGCATGACAAACGAGATGTCACACTGTTGTCATCAGTTCACCCTAAAGAAATGGCAGACAGTGGCAGGAGCATAGAGAGAGCAATGAACCCATTCTAAAACCTGCAGCTGTGATTGATTACACCCTTTAACATGCGTTCAGTGGACAAATGTGACATGCAGATTGGGTTTGCTGATTGTGTTCGCAAAAGTTATAAGTGGTACATAAAACTCTTTTTCCATTTCTGGACATTTCCATGCTCAATGTTATAATATGTATAAGATGAGGACCAGAAACAAACCACAGTACGGCAAATTCTGTTTGTCTGTCATCAGACAAATAGTATTCAAGTACCAAAAGGGAAAAGCACCTGCAATTGACCGCCCACCAAATTATCAACAACTACCTGCTCGTCTGAAGCATGGTGATCACTTCCTGGTAAAACTGCCTGCTACTGCTTTCAAGAAAAGGCTCAGAAGAGGTGTTACGTCTGTTCACATACAAAAAAAAGGCCCACAACAATGCAGAGACACTCGTTTTATGTGTGAGGAGTGTAAAAACCCCCACTGTGCATGACACCATGTTTCAAAGAGTTCCACAGGCTGCAGAACTTCTAGAAACATTCCCTGTGACTGTATTTTGTGTTATAAAAATATAGAAAAATAGTAATAAACAACATTCATATCGTTTGTTTGTGTAAATATTTTCTATAAACAAAATATGACAACAGTGTTTATGCCCTTATTGTGAGTAATTTAAAAAGAAAAAACTTACAAAATACTGATCATGTTGGCCTCAGAGGCCATAAAAGTTACTCAGAAAAAGAAAAATTGAAAAATAAAATTGAAAATAGCACATAAAAAAGTAAAAAGAAAAATACCGGGTGACGGGCAGTCGGAGATGTTTCCAGATATTGTTCAATTTTGGCAAACTTCACGCCTCCATATTCGGTAAGTATTGACGGTAAAATTTTTTTGTTTTCCTATAATGTTCAGAAAAAAAAATATTTTTCATAAGAAAAAATATTTTTTTTTTTTTTGAAATTTGGCCGACCCTGAGAAAAGAGTTTCGGAGAGGGGCCCGTCGACCCTCAAAGGGTTAATATATTTATAGATGGGGTTGTAAAAGAAGTAAATGCTAGGGTGTTCGGGAGGGGGTAAGGTGATGAGGGAATCAAATGATTTAGAAGAAAATTGGATATCAAATTGGGGAGGAGGAGTATGGAAGTTGTAAATGTTTTCAGATACTTGGGAGTTGAGGTCGGCGGATGGATTTCTGAAGGATGAAATTAATCATAGAATTGATGAGGAAAAGAAGGTGAGTGGTGCGTTGAGGTATATGTGGAGATAAAAAACGTTATCTATGGAGGCAAAAAAAGGAAATGTATGAAAGTATAAAAGTACCAACACTCTTATATGGGGTGTGAAGCTTGGGTTGTGAATGCAGCAGCGAGGAGGCGTTGGAGGTAGTGGAGATGTCCTGTCTAAGGGCAATGTGTAGTGTAAATATTATGTAGAAAATTCGGAGTGTGGAAATTACGTGTGGAGTTAATAAAAGTATTAGTCAGAGGGCTGAAGAGGGGATGTTGAAGTGGTTTGGTCATTTAGAGAGAATGGATCAAAGCAGAATGACATGAGAACATTTATATCTGTATGGAAGGAAGGTGGGGTTAGGGGTCGTTCTCGAAAAGGTTGGAAGGGGCAAGGGAGGTTTTGTGAGCGAGGGGCTTGGACTTCCAGCAGGCGTGCATGAGCGTGTTCGATAGGAGTGAATGGAGACGAATGGTATTTGGGACCTGACGATCTGTTGGAGTGTGAGCAGGGTAATATTTAGTGAAGGGATTCAGGTAAACGGTTATTTTTATATAGCCAGACTTGAGTCCTGGAAATGGGGAGTACAATGCCTGCACTCTAAAGGAGGGGTTTCGGGATATTAGCAGTTTGGAGGATATGTCGTGTATCTTTATACGCATATGCTTCTAAACTGTTGTGTTCTGAGCACCTCTGTAAAAACAGTGATTATGTGTGAGTGAGGTGAAAGTGTTGAATGATGATGAAAGTATTTTCTTTTTTGGGGTTTTCTTTCTTTTTGTGTCACCCTGCCTCGGTGGGAGACGGCCGACTTGTTAAAAATTAAAAAAAAATAATAATAATAATATAGGGAGCAAGGGGCTAGTAACCCCTTCTCTTGTACAAATTATTAAATTTAAAAAGAGAAACTTTCGTGTTTCTTTTTGGGCCACCCTGCTTTGGTGGGATATGGCCGGTTTTTGAAATTTGGCCGACCCTGAGAACGAGTTTCGGAGAGGGCCTGTCGACCCTCAAAGGGTTAATATATTTATAGATGGGGTTGTAAAAGAAGTAAATGCTAGGGTGTTCGGGAGAGTAAGGTGATGAGGGAATCAAATGATTTAGAAGAAAAATTGGATATCAAATTGGGGAGGAGGAGTATGGAAGTTGTAAATGTTTTCAGATACTTGGGAGTTGACGTGTCGGCGGATGGATTTCTGAAGGATGAAATTAATCATAGAATTGATGAGGAAAAGAAGGTGAGTGGTGCGTTGAGGTATATGTGGAGATAAAAAACGTTATCTATGGAGGCAAAGAAGGAAATGTATGAAAGTATAATAGTACCAACACTCTTATATGGGTGTGAAGCTTGGGTTGTGAATGCAGCAGCGAGGAGGCGGTTGGAGGTAGTGGAGATGTCCTGTCTAAGGGCAATGTGTAGTGTAAATATTATGTAGAAAATTCGGAGTGTGGAAATTACGTGTGGAGTTAATAAAAGTATTAGTCAGAGGGCTGAAGAGGGGATGTTGAAGTGGTTTGGTCATTTAGAGAGAATGGATCAAAGCAGAATGACATGGAGAACATTTATATCTGTATGGGAAGGAAGGTGGGGTTAGGGGTCGTTCTCGAAAAGGTTGGAAGGGGCAAGGGAGGTTTTGTGAGCGAGGGGCTTGGACTTCCAGCAGGCGTGCATGAGCGTGTTCGATAGGAGTGAATGGAGACGAATGGTATTTGGGACCTGACGATCTGTTGGAGTGTGAGCAGGGTAATATTTAGTGAAGGGATTCAGGTAAACCGGTTATTTTTATATAGCCAGACTTGAGTCCTGGAAATGGGGAGTACAATGCCTGCACTCTAAAGGAGGGGTTTCGGGATATTAGCAGTTTGGAGGGATATGTCGTGTATCTTTATACGCATATGCTTCTAAACTGTTGTGTTCTGAGCACCTCTGTAAAAACAGTGATTATGTGTGAGTGAGGTGAAAGTGTTGAATGATGATGAAAGTATTTTCTTTTTTGGGGTTTTCTTTCTTTTTGTGTCACCCTGCCTCGGTGGGAGACGGCCGACTTGTTAAAAATTAAAAAAAAATAATAATAATAATATAGGGAGCAAGGGGCTAGTAACCCCTTCTCTTGTACAAATTATTAAATTTAAAAAGAGAAACTTTCGTGTTTCTTTTTGGGCCACCCTGCTTTGGTGGGATATGGCCGGTTTGCTGCAAGAACAATAATAATAATATAATAATATCTTTATTTCTACAAGTACCTGTACAACGTATACAGGCCAAGCTGACATCAATGATATGTACTATATAGAAAGCCGCTTGTTATGCAGAGCATTTCAGGCAAATTAGATCAGTTTTGTCCCAGGATGCAACCCACACCAGTTGACTAACACCCAGGTACCCATTTTACTGATGGGGAACATGGACAACCGGTGTAAGGAAACACGCCCAATGTTTCTACCCTCGCCCGGAATCGAACCTGGACCCTCACCATGTGAAGCGAGAGCTTTAGCCACCAGGCCATAGGGAACGATGCCCCTCTAAACAGCAAATATCCCAAAACCCTTCTTAAGAATGCAGGCACTGTACTTCCCACCTCCAGGGCCCACATCTGGCTAATATTATTACAATTTGTAATGTGCTTAAATAACTACAGTATAAAGTATAGTTCAGAAATAAATAATTTGCCATTTACAATTTAAAAGGAAAAACTTACCTCTGGGTCGCTTCAACTTTAATTTAGCATAGGCAGTAGCAAATTTAACATGGTGTGTAAATATCTGGTCTAATTTTGATTTCACCTCTTGGAGACCTCCAACTGGTGATGCTTGAGGCTTGGCAGTAATGAAATCAAGTGTTTTGTGAATACTTGGAATGATAGTTGCTGTGTTGGCTAACATGATATCAATGATCTCTTTGGAATTCACTGTTTCCTGAAAAAAAAAGGCCAAATGTTTTTCTCTTCAAAATTCATTATATACTGCACTGTGTTATAATACACTCGTGTATAACATGGATGGCATCTCCAGTAAGCTATTTCTGACTAAGCTTCCTTCATATACTACAGGCCTATAGTCTTTTAGCAACAACAAAACATCTATATTATACATGTAGATAAGTACAGTGGAACCTCTACTTACGAGTGCATCCACGTGCGAGTTTCTCCAGATATGAGCAGGTGCTCGGTCGATATTTTGCTTCCAGATGCGAGCAAAATTTCCAGATGCGAGCAGGCCTAGAGGGAGGTTAATTGACACTGGTGAGGGGGCTCTTGCTCTTGATCTAGGGAATTGGATTTCAGTTGTTTGTTGGGCTATCTTATTGAAACTTGGGAAATGTATGATGAAAAGATGTTTCTTAACGTACACCAAAAATTAAAGAAATTGGACCATAAATAACGGCGTTCACATCTCGGCCATTAGCCTCCCCTTAGCGGTATATTTTCGTATGGTTTTTATGATTGCATTCTCGCTTTATTTGGTCTCATGTGATAGAATGGAAGATATACTACAAAAATAAATATGATTTTAATTGGTTTCACAATGAAAAGTACCTTGAAATTGAGTGCAAAATAGCAGAAATGTTCGATTCTTTGGCAACATCAGTGGTAGACATCATGAGGTAGCAGTGGCAGACTACATGAAGCAGCAGTGGCAGACAACATGAAGCAGCAGTGGCAGACAACATGAAACAGCAGTGGCAGACAACATGAAACAGCAGTGGCAGACATCATGAGGTAGCAGTGGCAAAGTGTAGCATTAAGAGTGTAGCAATTAAGTGAAGCATTAAGAGTGCAGCACTTATAAGTCACTCTGTCTGACTTTTTTTTGGGGACATCCTAGGTTCTCTACACATGTAGTCAGGAGCAGGAATGGCCACTGTGGTGGCCCTATAATCCCTAACAACAATGGCTGCTGTCACCATCACTAGCCACATACCTAATGACATGTATTTTATTCATTCTAGTGTATACATCATGTTTCTATATTATTAATATTGTTTATTATGTCATATTATATGAATTGTGATAAATAAATAAGCTGTCGAGTTGATATTAGGGAAATTATTAAAGTATTTTCTCGTGCCTGGAATTCCACTGGAATGAATTAATTCCATTTCAATTAATTTAAATGAGGAAAATTGATTCTGCAAACGAGCAAATCCAGCTGCGAGCAAGGTCATGGAACGGATTAAACTTGTAAGTAGAGGTTCCACTGTATATGTATATATATGTGTATGTATAGTACGTAGGTAGACAGCAACCACGAAGGGAGGTATTACCATCCTGTCAAGTGAGTGTAAAACGAAAGCCTGTAATTGCTTTACATGATGGTAGGATTGCTGGTGTCTTTTTTTCTGTTTCATAAACATGCAAGATTTCAGGTATATTTTGCTACTTCTACTTACATTTAGATCACACTACAAATAAATGTACACATTTATGTATACACATTATCTGAGTTTTTTTTTTATTTTATCTTAATAGTTCTTGTTTTTATTGCTTTTCCTTTTATATCCATGGGGAAGTGGAATAAGAATCTTTCCTCCGTAAGCCATGCGTGCTGTAAAAGTCAACTAAAATGCCGGGAACAATGGGCTAGTAACCCCTTCTCCTGTATAGCTTACTAAAAAGAAAAAGAAGAAAACCATCAAAGTGGGATGTTTGAATGTGCATGGATGTTGTGTGAATGATAAGAGATGATTGTGGATGTTATGAATGAGAAGAAGCTGGATGTCCTGGCTTTAAGTGAAACAAAAGTGAAGGGGGTGGAAATGTTTCAGTGGGGAGAAATAAATGAGATTAGGTCAGGGGTTGCAAATAGTTAGAGGTAAAGAAGGAGTAGCAATAATGTTGAATGATAAGTTATGGCAGGAAAAGAGGGAATATAAATGTATAAATTCAAGGATTATGTGGGAGTTGTCACAGTTGCTCTTTGCTCATGACACTGTGCTCTTGGGAGATTCTGAAGAGAAGTTGCAGAGATTGGTGGATGAATTTGGTAGGGTGTGCAAAAGAAGAAAATTAAAAGTGAATACAGGAAAGAGTAAGGTTATGAGGATAACAAAAATATTAGGTGATGAAAGTTTGGATATCAGATTGGAGGGAGAGAGTATGGAGGAGGTGAATGTATTCAGATATTTGGGAGTGGACGTGTCAGCGGATGGGTCTATGAAGGATGAGGTGAATCATAGAATTGATGAGGGGAAAAGGGTGAGTGGTGCACTTAGGAGTCTGTGGAGACAAAGAACTTTGTCCTTGGAGGCAAAGAGGGGAATGTATGAGAGTATAGTTTTACCAACACTCTTATATGGGTGTGAAGCATGGGTGATGAATGTTGCAGCGAGGAGAAGGCTGGAGGCAGTGGAGATGTCATGTCTGAGGGCAATGTGTGGTGTGAATATAATGCAGAGAATTCGTAGTTTGGAAGTTAGGAGGAGGTGCGGGATTACCAAAACTGTTGTCCAGAGGGCTGAGGAAGGGTTGTTGAGGTGGTTCGGACATGTAGAGAGAATGGAGCGAAACAGAATGACTTCAAGAGTGTATCAGTCTGTAGTGGAAGGAAGGCGGGGTAGGGGTCGGCCTAGGAAAGGTTGGAGGGAGGGGGTAAAGGAGGTTTTGTGTGGGAGGGGCTTGGACTTCCAGCAGGTGTGCGTGAGCATGTTTGATAGGAGTGAATGGAGACAAATGGTTTTTAATACTTGACGTGCTGTTGGAGTGTGAGCAAAGTAACATTTATGAAGGGGTTCAGGGAAACCGGCAGGCCGGACTTGAGTCCTGGAGATGGGAAGTACAGTGCCTGCACTCTGAAGGAGGGGTGTTAATGTTGCAGTTTAAAAACTGTAGTGTAAAGCACCCTTCTGGCAAGACAGTGATGGAGTGAATGATGGTGAAAGTTTTTCTTTTTCGGGCCACCCTGCCTTGGTGGGAATCGGCCAGTGTGATAAAAAAAAAAAATAAGAGTTGGATGTGAAAAGTGGGTTATAGTAAGCATTTATGCAACTGGCGAAGAGAGACGTGTAGAGGAGACAGAGAGATTTGGGGAAATGTTGAGTGAGTGAGTGGGGAGTTTTGAACCAAGTGTGAGAGTAATCGTGGTTGGGGATTTCAATGCTAAAGTGGGTAAAAATGTTGTGGAGGAAACAGTAGGTAAATTTGGGGTGCCAGGGGCAAATGAAAATGGGGAGCCTTTAATTGAGCTATGTGTAGAAAGAGGTTTGGTAATACGTTATACATATTTTATGAAAAGGAGGATAAATAAGTATACAAGGTATGATATAGCACATAATGAAAGTAGTTCATTAGATTGTGTATTGGTGGATAAAAGGTTGATGGGTAGGCTTCAGGATGTACATGTTTATAGAGGGGCAACTGATATATCAGATCATTATTTAGTTGTAGCTACAGTTAGAGTAAGAGGTAGATGGGACAAAAGAAAAATAGCAGAAACAAGTAAGAGAGAGATGAAAGTGTATAAACTAAGGGAGGAGGAAGTTAGGGTGAGATTTTTTTTTTGTTTTTTCCGACAAGTCGGCCGTCTCCCACCGAGGCAGGGTGACCCAAAAAAGAAAGAAAATCCCCCAAAAGAAAATACTTTCATCATCATTCAACACTTTCACCACACTCACACATTATCACTGTTTTTGCAGAGGTGCTCAGAATACAACAGTTTAGAAGCATATACGTATAAAGATACACAACATATCCCTCCAAACTGCCAATATCCCAAACCCCTCCTTTAAAGTGCAGGCATTGTACTTCCCATTTCCAGGACTCAAGTCCGACTATATGAAAATAACCGGTTTCCCTGAATCCTTTCACTAAATATTACCCTGCTCACACTCCAACCGATCGTCAGGTCCCAAGTATCATTCGTCTCCATTCACTCCTATCTAACACGCTCATGCACACTTGATGGAAGTCCAAGCCCCTCGCCCACAAAAGTGGGCTAGAGCAAGTATGAGTAGTGGAAGAGTTGAAGAGGGTTGAAATAGTTTTAAAAATGTAGTATTAGAATGTGGGGCAGAAGTCTGTGGCTATAGGAGGGTGGGTGCAGGAGGAAAGAGGAGTGATTGGTGGAATGATGAAGTAAAGGGTGTGATAAAAGAGAAAAAGGTAGCTTATGAGAGGTTTTCACAAAGCAGAAGTTTTATAAGAAGAGCACAGTATATGGAGAGTAAAAGAAAGGTGAAGAGAGTGGTGAGAGTGCAAAAGGAGAGCAGATGATAGAGTGGGAGAGGCACTGTCAAGAAATTTTGATGACAATAAGAAAAAATTTTGGAGCGAGATAAACAAGTTAGGAAAGCCTAAGGAACAAATGGATTTGTCAGTTAAAAACAGAGTAGGGGAGTTAGTAGATGGGGAGCTGGAGGTATTGGGTAGATGGTAGGAATATTTTGAGGAACTTTTAAATGTCAATGAAGAAAGGGAGGTGGTAATTTCATGCACGGGTCAGGGAGGTATAACATCTTTTAGGAGTGAAGAAGAGCAGAACGTGAGTATGGGGAAGGTATGTGAAGCATTAAGTAGAATAAAAGGGGGTAAAGCAACTGGAACTGACAGGATCATGACAGAAATGTTAAAAGCAGGGGGATATAGTCTTGGAATGGGTGGTATTTTTGTTTAATAAATATATGAAAGAGGGGAAGGTATCTAGGGATTGGCAGAGAGTTTGTATAGTTCCTTCATATGAAGTGAAGGGAGACACAAGAGATTGTAAAAATTATAGGGGAATAAGTTTACTGAGTATACCAGGAAAAGTGTAAAGTTATTATTGAAAGAATTAGAGGTAAGACAGAGAGTAGGGTTTCGGATGAGCAAGGAGGTTTCAGAGTGGGTAGGGGATGTGTAGATCAAGTGTTTACATTGAAGCATATATGTGAACAGTATTTAGATAACGGTAGGTAAGTTTTAATTGCATTTATGGATTTAGAT